CATGGATTTTTATGGGAATTTTTTGTGGATTTTTGTGGGATTTTTTTGTGGATTTTTGTGGGAATTTCTCCCTCCATGGAGCCTCCTGCAGGGAACTTTTTGTGAATTTTTCTGGGACTTTTTCATGCATTTTCATGGGATTTTTTTGTGGATTTTTCTGGGAATTTTTTGCAAATTTTTGTGGGAATTTTTCCCTCCGTGGACCCTCCCGCGGGGAATTTTTTGTTGTTTTTTTCTGGGAATTTCATGGGAATTTTTCCATCCATGGAGCCTCCTGAAAGGAATTTTTCATGGATTTTTGTGGGCATTTTTTGGAGGAATTTTTCATGGATTTTTCTGGGAATTTTTCGCAGATTTTTATGGGAATTTTTCCCTCCATGAAGCCTCCTGCAGGGAATGTTTTGTGGATTTTTCTGGGAATTTTTTGTGCATTTTCATGGAGATTTTTCATGGATTTTTCATGGGAATTCTTCCTTGATTTTTTCTGGGAATTTTTCCCTTTATGGAGCCTCCTTCAGGCAACTTTTTGTGGATTTTTCTGGGAATTTTTCGTGGATTTTTGTGGGAATTTTTCCCTCCATGGAGCCTCCTGCAGGAAATTGTTCATCGTTTTTTGTGGGAATTTTTGTGGATTTTTCTGGGAATTTTTTCGTGGATTTTTCTGGGGAGTTTTCATGGATTTTTGTGGGAATTTTTTCCTGGATTTTTCTGGGAATTTCTCCCTCCATGGAGCCTCCTGCAAGGAATTGTTCATGGATTTTTGTGGGAATTTTTCATTGATTTTTATGGGAATTTTTCATGGATTTTTCTGGGAATTTTTCACGGATTTTTATGGGAATTTTTCCCTCCATGGAGCCTCTTGCAGTGAGTTTTTTGTGGATTTTTATGGGATTTTTTTGTGGATTTTTTATGGGAATTTTTTGTGGATTTTTGTGGGAATTTCATGCTAATTTTTGTGGGAATTTTTCCTGGATTTTTCTGAGAATTTTGCCCTTCCATGGAGCCTCTTGCAGGGAATTTCCCATGAATTCTTTCCCAAAACCCCATTCCTTCCCAACGCCCCATCCCTCCACCCTCACCCCCCCCCACCTCCCCTCTCAGAACATTCCAGAACCTCCCTCCATTCTACACCTCTCTGACCCCTCCCCTTTTCCCGTTTTTTCCCCCCGCAGGACGTCGTCGCTGCGCTGGAACACCGGGAACATTCCAGAACCTCCCCCTCCATTCTGGGAACATTCCAGAACCTCCCTCCATTCTACACCTCTAACCCTTCCCCTTTTTCCCGTTTTTTCCCTCCGCAGGACGTCATCGCTGCGCTGGAACGCCAGGAACATTCCAGAACCTCCCCCTCCCCTCTCAGAACATTCCAGAACCTGCCCCTCCCCTCTCAGAACATTCCAGAACCTCCCTCCATTCTACATCTCTCTAACCCCTCCCCTTTCCCSYTTTTTCCCTCCGCAGGACGTCATCGCTGCGCTGGAACGCCGGGAACATTCCAGAACCTCCCCCTCCCCTCTCAGAACATTCCAGAACCTCCCTCCATTCTACACCTCTAACCCTTCCCCTTTTTCCCGTTTTTTCCCTCCGCAGGACGTCATCGCTGCGCTGGAACGCCAGGAACATTCCAGAACCTCCCCCTCCCCTCTCAGAACATTCCAGAACCTGCCCCTCCCCTCTCAGAACATTCCAGAACCTCCCTCCATTCTACACCTCTAACCCCTCCCCTTTTCCCATTTTTTCCCCCCGCAGGACATCGTCTCTGCGCTGGAACGCCGGCGCCAAGGAGCGGATGCTGATCAAGGTGACGGAGCGCGAGCCCAGCTTCCTCCTGCACCAGGGCAACGGCTACGCCGCCGACAGCGCCCCCGCCCCGCGCTCGCGCCGGCCCTCGGGCGGCCACCACTCGCCCAACCCGCAGAGCTTCTCCTCCTCCTCGGACGCCGACGGCTCCGTCTTTTTCCCCGACAGGAAGCAGTCGCCGTTTTTGAAGCGGGCCGAGCATGGCGGCGGTGGTGGTGGTTGCTCGCCGCTGCTTGGCGGCCGCTCGGAACCTTTCTGCTCGCCATTGCCGGCGGCGCAGCACCGCAAGCACTCGGCCGAGTCGCAGCCGTCGTCGCCGCGCTACGCCTACGAGCCGCCGCTCTACGAGGAGCCGCCGGTGGAGTACCAGGCGCCCATCTACGACGAGCCGCCCGTGGACATGCAGTACGAGCACGCCGGCGGCTACAAGGCCGGCTCGCCGCAGAAGTCGCCCATCCGCAAGCCCCACCCGCAGTTCCTGCAGTCGCCCAAGCAAGGCTCCAACTCGCCCTACCAGCAGCTGGTGCTGACCAAGCAGAAGTGCCCCGAGCGCTTCATGAGCCTGGAGTACAGCCCGGCCGGCAAGGAGTACGTGCGGCAGTTGGTCTACGTGGAGCAGTCGGGCTCCAGCCCCAAGATGAAGGCGGGCCCGAGGCACAAATATTCCCCCAACCCCATCGGCGGCTCCTACTCGCTGCAGCACAGCCCCTGCCTGCTGCGGGACCAGCGCCTGGACATCAAATCGGGCGACTACAGCAGCATGGAGGGGCCCCCCGAATTCTGCGCCAGCCCCGCCGCGGCCCAGGCGGCCGAGGACTCCATGTCGTGGTCCAGCCAGCAGGACACCCTGTCCTCCACCGGCTACTCGCCCTCCACCAGGAAGAGGAAAAGCCGGAAGCCTTCGGCCGGCCACGAGGCCAACGCCTCGTGCGGGGACGGCTCGGCCGAGCGGGAGGTGCCGGGAGAGGCGGGCGAGGCACCGGGGGCCGGCCGCTCGCCGCTGGGCCGGACGGAGAGCAAGGCGGCCGAGGCGGAGGCGGCCCAGAGGGGCTTCCCGGAGCCGTTCCTGGCGCAGGCGCGGCTGGCCTGGGAGGCRCAGCAGGCCCACTACCACATGAAGCAGCGCAGCAGCTGGGACTCGCAAAAGGACGGCTCGGGCTACGAGAGCGACGGGGCGCTGCCGCTGCCCATGCCGGGCCCGGTGGTGCGGGCGTTCAGCGAGGACGAGGCGCTGGCGCAGCAGGAGAGCAAGCACTGGAAGAGGAACACCTTCGAGAAGCTGGGCTTCCCGCAGATCCTGCTGGAGAAGAGCGTCTCCGTCCAGACCAACCTGGCGTCCCCCGAGCCCTACCTGCACCCGTCACAGGTAACGCCGCCGCTTCGTGCCCGGGACCGGTTAAAGCTCCTTCTCCTCCCAACTTCAGCGAGGTGGTCCTTCAAAATGGGTCTTTGGCAAGSTGSTYCTTCCAAGTTGGTTCTCRYAAGGTGGTCCTTCCAAGCTGTTCCTTGGCAAGGGGGTCTTTCAAAATCGGTGTTTGGCAATGTGGTCCCTCAAAGTTGGACTTTGCCAAGGTGGTCCTTCCAAGTTGGTTCTCTCAAGGTGATCCCTCAAAGCTGGTCCATGGCCAAGGGTGAT